TCTGTTCATCGTGGACAAGAGTCTGAAGTCCTGCTGCAGACCTGAGGCTGATAGAGAGCGTCTGCTCTGAGGTGACGCTCTTTAGTCGACTTCTGCTCTGAAGTTATGGTGTGAAGTTTTAATGTAGGTCAGTGCCAGACACGTTGCAACCTATCAAATCGTTTTGACCTTTTTTGGCTTGATTTACGTACTGATAACTTTGACGAGCAATATGAAAGAAAACAACAAGGACAAATACTTAGTCTCTTTAGAAAGCCCTTCTGAAAAGCCCAGTGTGCTCTGATTGGCTTTCGGTAAAATTATGAAGTACATTTGTAGTAGCAACATTTTTGATGTACTTTACTTTGCTGAGTATTTTCCATTTCCTGCTACTTTATACTTCCACTCCACTTATCAGATATGTTATATTGTTATATGTGAGGAAGAAACTCACAAGATATCTAACAGTATAGTTTAAAAACGACTCAATCCTTCTGTTTCAGCTGCAACATTGAAGTGATTAATAAATATGTCAGGGAAGTGACCGAGAGACTTGGACTCATCTGCACGACTCCACACAAAAGTACAAAAATGAACTTTATTCATTTTGGCAAAGACTAACTGAATGTGGCTCTTGAAACTGAAGATGTTAGCTTGGAAAACTCTGGCTCTCTTGACATTGTACGAAACAAGACGAACTGGCACAGGACAAAGGGACACGAGGACTATTTATAGAAGAGTTAATGGGACACAGGTGGAAACAATCAAGGTTGAGGCCGACAATCACAGTGGCGGGAAAACACACAAATGGTGTGAAAGTCAAGAGCTCTGAAAAGAGACGGAGGGGTAAATAAAAAAGGAAGTGCAATGACAGACGAGACAAGATATAAGTGACAGTAAATTAACACGTTAACAATGAGACATGACTAAACCCTAACCCTAACCCTAAACATATGAACTAAACATGAAACCTTTAGGATGAACCTGATAACGAACACCTTCCTATTGCTAACTTGTGGCAGCAAACGAGAGGGGAGATGTTGGATCGACAGACAGAGTTACAGAGCTTCAGGTCACATTTAATACAAACTGTTGAACTGACATTCACACAGAAGATACTCACAGTAGATACGAAGACCCATGATGGCTAACAGTATGATCCAACACACTGCTATCAGAAGAAAAGACCTGAGGCCTGAAAAACAAGCATTCAGTTAAAAAACCTTAACAAAGGTTTCGAAAGGTTTCAAAGGTTTCAAAAGGTTTCAAAAGGTTTCAAAAGGTTTCAAAAGGTTTCAAAGGTTTCAAAGGTTTCGAAAGGTTTCAAAGGTTTGAAAGTCATATGCACAGAAACAGTCTAGTCTAAAAGCTGTGGTCGCAGGTTGGTTAAAACATGCAATATAAACATGTTTATAAAAATAGTGCAAGCTCAGGAGTTTTGCAGTCTTAACGCCTAAAACCATTTAACAGTGTAAGCTAATGCTTTCAATACATTATTAGCATACCACAAAAATAGCTAAACAAATATTAACCTTTGTCACTATCACAGTGTTTTACCTTTATGTTTGTTTTTAAACATGTTAACAGTATTAAATAGTGAAATGTATTGATCAAAATGCTGCAGCACGGGTTTTAACAGGAACAAAGAAGATGGACCACATCACTCCTGTTTTAGCAGCATTGCACTGGCTACCAGTTAAGTCCAGGATTGATTTTAAAATACTTTTACTCACATACAAAGCGCTCAATGGTCAGGGACCATCCTACCTACAGGATCTTTTAATCTCCTATTGCCCCTCTAGGGCATTAAGATCCCAGAGTGCAGGTCTGTTGGTGGTTCCCAGAGTCCACAAAAAAAGGTCAGGTGCTAGAGCTTTCGGCTACCAAGCCCCGTTCCTCTGGAACCAACTTCCAGTGGCGATTCGGGAGGCAGACAGTGTCCACACAGTAGGTTAAAGACTTTCCTCTTTAGTACAGTGTACAGTTAAGACTGGTTTTAAACCCCCTTTTATACATCCTCATTGACCCTTCCTTTCATGGAATTTTATTGTACTCTAACTGTATTTGTGTCATTGTGTTATGTTCCTTTTTAAATTACGTTTGTTGTTTTTACATTGTTTTACATTGCCAATTTTGTTTGTTGACTTGTGAAGCCCTCTGAGACAAATAGGATTTGTGATTTTGGGCTATATAAATAAACTTGAATTGAATTGAATTGAATTGAATCATGCACCTGGAGGGGATGCATTTGTATCCACGGTGCCTTCTGGTGCAGCTTCTTCTTTGGTGTCCTCTGAAAAATAAAAACACAGTGTGTTATGTTATGAAGTTTATCAGAATCAGAAACAGGTTTATTACCAGGTAGGTTGAAAGATATTGTATACATTGTGTGCATTAAACTCCCAATATGATCAAACTTCAAAAACCATTGGACAAAACATTCATTTTATAATCAGCTATTGGTGGTAAATACAGTGAAGAAGAGAGACCTCTGTCTTGAGTTAAGTTACTAAACAACATAAATTTAAAGTTAATATAGAACAAAAAGATCTGATTTAATATTCACATTTTTAACCTTCATCACTATTTTTAATTTATTTTTAACATTATATTTATTGGGATTTTCATCATAGAAAGAACATACAGTCACACATACATACATACATTAACGTGATAGTAATATTACATGGGAAGATAACACTCCCCTCCCCCCACCCTCAATAATAATAATAATAATAGCTTGCATTTATATAGCGCATTTCAAGGGACCCAAGGTCGCTTTACAACTAGTATAGGAAAAAATAACATAACAAAACAAAAGTCAGACAGACAAAACAACAGATCGATTAGGGGCCGAAAGCCTTGGCAAACAGATGGGACTTGAGGGCCCTTTTGAAGGCGTCGAGTGTGGGGATGTTGCGAATCTCCGCAGGGAGAGCGTTCCAGAGGGTGGGGGCTGCCACACTGTAGGCTCTGTCCCCGAAGGTTCGCAGTTTGGTGCGGGGGGTGGTAGGCAGGCCAGAGTCTGAGGACCGCAGGTTCCGGGGTGGGGCATGTGGGTGAAGGATGTCCGATAGGTACTGGGGGGCAAGGGCATGGAGGGACGTGTAGGTAAGGAGGAGTGCTTTGTACGATATACGGGACTTGACCGGCAACCAGTGTAGGTGGATGAGGGTGGGAGTGATGTGCTGCCACGGCTTTGTGTGTGTGAGTACCCTAGCAGCACAGTTTTGGACATACTGGAGCCTGTCCAGGGTTTTTTTGGGAACCCCGAACAGGACACCATTGCAGTAGTCCAAGCGGGTGGTGACAAATGCATGCACTAGGGTTTCGGCAACCGACTCCGAGAGTGACGGTCGGAGTCTGGCAATGTTCCTCAGGTGGAAAAAGGCCGATTTGGTCACAGATTTGACGTGGGAATGGAAGGAAAGGGTGGAGTCAAGGATGACACCCAGGTTGCGGGCTTCAGGAGATGGGGAGATGGAGCAGCCGTCGACCTCGAGGATGAAGTCACCAACCTTCTGGAGCAGGGCCTTGGGTGCCACAACCATGAGCTCTGTTTTATTGCTGTTCAGCTTAAGGTAGTTGGAAGACATCCATGTTTTGATGTCATGCAGGCAGTTGATGAGAGACTGAGGGGGGAGCTGGGAGGATGGAGTGGTCCTGAGATACAGTTGAGTATCATCAGCGTAACAGTGGAAATTGAGTCCGTGATGTCGGATGATCTGGCCGAGGGGGAGCATGTAAATGGTGAACAGGAGGGGGCCAAGCACAGAGCCCTGGGGTACACCGTGGTGGACTGGGGCCGGGGGTGAGTTTGAGCCACTGATGGAGACAAACTGTTTCCTGTTATGGAGGTAGGATGTGAACCAGGACAGCGCTGTGCCAGTGACACCTAGGACATCGAACATTCAGGGAAACCTCACAGATTGAAATGAAACAGGAGTAAATACAATCAGATAAAGTAAAGGATGTGAAACAATAATACAAAACATTTATATGAAAGAATAACTCGTTTCTATATTTAGAGATAATAATAATTCAGTCAGACAACTCACGTATCTCTTTAACATGTTTATTAGAAGCAGCATATAGTTGAGTTTGGCAACTAGGCTCGGGCCTCATCACTCCACAGATATACATAGCACGATGAGTGATGATTAAATAACTAACCCCGAGCCTACAGGTGGAAGCTGGGGTGGAAGCTGGGGTGGAAGCTGGGGTGGAAGCTGGGGTGGAAGCTGGGGTGGTGGTGGGGCAGGCAGGCAAGCAGCAGCAGCATGAACACAGCAGCGGTAGCAATGTGAACGCAATAGCAGGGCACGAACGCAGCAGCAGCAGCAAGCAATGCATGGAGAGAGATCTGGCAGGTTAAATAGAGCGGCATATTAAGGAGACTCTGTTTGGTTGCTTGTAGAGTGGCAAGGGGCGTTATGTATGAATGCAGCGTAAGTGCTCGAGTTGACTGCCTGAACTAGCTCGCAGGCTTCGCTCCATTTATAAGCAGCATTGTTATTATTCCTTATTTTGTATCAGTGTTTGATAGCGATATTCATCAATTTCACTCATCAATTTCCATTCGATCACTTTCAAGAAAATGCATGAACGTGTCCCATATGTCCTTACATTTATTTACTTTCCTTTTGATCACATAGGTTCATTTGTCCAAAGCGAGGCAGGACACCATTTCCCGCAGCCACATTGCAGGAGTAGGACCATCCGTATTTTTCCACCTCAGTGCAATTGCTCTCCTAGCCTGAAGTAGGCAAATATTAATCAAGGGCACTGCTTTACGGCTTGGTACCAATTGATCGAGATATATACCTAATATACAGAGCTTTGCGTCGAGAGGGATCTGTAGAGCAGTTACATGTGCAATCAGGTTAACTATGTCTTTCCAGAATGATTGGATTTGTTGGGATTCCCACATACAGTGCAGCAGAGTACCAACATTCACTATTTTATTTTTAAATAATATGACTGTTGAATAAATCTCATGTTTGCTTGTGTTCACAGCTCACCTGGACGCATTGCCTTTTTATCCACAGGGCCTTCTGGTGCATTCACATAGTCAGCTTCTTCTGTGATTTCCTCTGGAAGATAAACACATACTGTTTCATCAGATATGCAGTTTCTCTCCCATTATGTTCAGCATGCATGAGGAACCATTTCACTAAATGATGGAGTTTATAATCAAACTCAACGATGTAAAATGAGTTGCAGTCACGCAAAGCATCAGAGCAGAAAAGCAGAACTAAAAACACACAGAGAAGTGTATCATGCTGACTTTTAAAACGAGATTAAAGACCAATTAGACAAACTCAAATGTGCCTCTTTCAAATATAACATTTGTACATGTTTTTGTTCAAAAATGGAACACATTTAGTATTTAGTACAATAGTTCATCATGTGTGGTTAACATATTGATAAACTACAAGCTTCTTCCTAATTTACTCTCAACAAAATCCCCAAAAGCATCAAACATTATGTCTCTATGTTCAGCAGAGTTGATCAATTATAACTTTAAAGATTCAATCTTAAATTAATTTGGATATTTAAAATAATGTGCTGCTAGGGAGTGGTCAAGCCTCAGAAGCAACTCACGCATATATGGTCATACATAGCAAACCATGTTGGTAAAGGCAAAGAAAAACATATCATAGGATGTATCTTAGACACACACACACACACACACACACACACACACACACACACACACACACACACACACACACACACACACACACACACACACACACACACACACACACACACACACACACACACACATAAACTCTGGAATATTCTTTAATTACCCATATCCTCGATTATTTGTCCTTTCGTCCTGAACAAAGTCCTGCTGCAGTCCTGATGAGAGCGTCTCTCTGATGTGACGGTTCAGTCGACTTCTGCTTCGAGGTGGAGATGGCATCTTTTTAATAATCTGTTGACACTTCCCAAATAGTTTCAACCGGAACTTGAAAACGTGTGGCCCTTTCAGAGTTTTAATAGAGTCACACATCCAACATATTGGATTTCCCAACAATATAATCATATTAACTGCAATTTGGATCTCCATTGGATTTCTAGGCCCCAAAAACGTATGTTTAGTCACCAAAATGCTCTCAATGCCACTTCCTGTCTCTCTCTGGAGCTCTGCAGGTGCTGATGTTGACAGAGTGACTGAATATTGAGGCCTGAGGCCTGTACTACGAAGCTGGTTCAACCTAAACTGGATATGTTTGAGTTAGCCGGTTGGCCCAATCCAAAACATACGCGCTCTCGCTAAACTGTACTACGACGCTGGTTATCAAGTGGATCGCTCAAGCCAGCCGTGTCCTATCTAGTTAGGTGCACGTTCACATGAAAGGGGTGGTATTTGGAGCATTCGACCAATCTCAAACATGGACAAGGTACTGACAGTGCAGCGCGTCATACTTTCTGAATGAAAAGTGAACTTTAATATTAGTCAAATATGAAGAAGTTAAACTTTAAACATCCATGACTTAAACACTTTATCCAGGATAAAAGCCACATAGCTGCAGCTGCAAGGTGAATGCAGCTGGTAAAAGAAAAAGCGTTTGAATGCGTACATTAACAGGTTTATGATATCACTGCCCCGTCTAAGACACGAGTGGATCTGACTTTAATTACATTTGACTCGAGTGTTTCGTCAACTTAATGTGTTGCTTAAAATAATACTTCTGCATACAGTATGTGACACTGTGAGTGTTGCACGGCCAGATACGGCTCAAGAAGCTGACTCAGATAAGGAAATATATGATACATTATGATGTGATATGATATGAATGATAATGGGACACATCGACGTCTGCACTCACAGTGCCGCGGACTGTACTTAATGTTACTTTGATCCGGTTACTTATGTTGTGGCAGATATTTAAGTAAGCTTTCTTAACGCTAATGTTATAATAGTCAGATTGCTCTGAAGATGGGAGGGGATATTCTATTAATTTTCACGTTCACACAGTCAGTTGATTTTTGCCGGCCGTCTTTCCTGCAACGGCAGTTTTTCTGTATTTCCTCTATCCTGTAATATGACTTGATAGCTTTAAACTCCGCACACGGAGCTGATTGGTCAGCAGGCGATGCTTTCACTGAGTTGATCTCTTAGCCTGCAACCTAACCTCCTCCCGAGGAGGTTAGCCGCTCAGCATAAGTTACCATGGAGATCTAGCCCGCTAAAAAGAGAACCAGCGTCGTAGGACCGGAAAGCCCGAGTTTTCCCTGAAGTCAGCCGGCTAAGCGAAAATCCGGCTTCGTAGTATAGGCCCCTGATGTCCTTCTATCTTATTTTCATCACAATGGTTGCACCATGAATAAGATTGTTTCTCCAGACTTGATTAAAGCACTGATGTTTTCAAAGAAAAGACAAAAACAACAATGTGTGGCAGCACATTTATTCACTGGTGACAACAGAGTAAAACAAGACATTGCTCAAAAATACAGATAGATACAAATCATCCATAAAGTGTGCATCATCAGAATAGTATCAGGGACAGTTTCATCCCACTGGCCATAAGACTATTAAACACCTGAGCTTGCACTATTTTATTTGTATTGTTGTTTCTTATATGTATTTCTTATGTCTTGTTAATTGCACTGTTAAGGAACCTGCGATCACATTTTTTATACATTACATAATTACACCGTAGTTTCTAAATGTCATGACAATAAACCTTTGAATCTTGAAAGATAGTTATTAAACAGACTCTGGAACATTGTATTGAGAACAAGTGATGCAGCGCCCTCTGTTGGCCAGTAGAAGCAATCAAATAAAATGGTCCATAATCTTTGCAATAATCTGCTGAGTTTAAGCGTTGCATCTCTAACACAATAGAATAACATTATTCACACAAAACAGTATAACTATTTTAACCATCCATATATAATAAAAACACCATAACAATGTTAAAGAAAGAAATATTTGCATTAATTTTGACAGCCTATAGAAATTAAGTCAAACTAAAAGTACAGTTTTTATTTTTAAAGTAGGATAATCCATAGTTTGACATTTATAGGCCTGTAAATCTATTTCATTTTCTTAATTCAAAGAGTTAGCAGTAACCTTCTTTGATTGACTGCGCTGTGCAAACAGAGAGAGATAGAGCCTTCTTCTGGCAGATCCATTGTTTGTGGTCACCACAGCTCACTGATACCCAGTTGTTTTCGCTCAGGACAGAGATTGCGCAGCGACCGTCAACAGGATCTGCATTAAAGGAGCTGAGGAGAGAACATGATGGTTAGACAAAGTCTGATTTTATTATTCAAAGTGTTTAGTAATGAATTTCTTACCTATCAATCAGATCACTTCCATCCACCCACTTCCATTTCCCATCTTCAACTCTCAGACCAATCCAGTATCCATTAGTTCCTGAACTCAATGGGCTGTATTTATCGATGATGACGTTCTGACAACAGAGAAACAGATATCAGGTATTTACACCGTCTAAGTAAATAAACACATAATGACCTAAAGACCATTTCACTAAAGGATGGCGTTTATAATCAAACTCAACGATGTCAAATTAATTGCCGTCACGCAAAGAACAGAGCAGGAAAGCAGAACTAAAAACACACAGAGAAGTGTATCGTGCTGACTTTTTATAACAAGATTAAAGACCAATTAGAAAAACTAATATCTTATAAATAAAACATTTGTACATGTTATTGTTCAAAAATTGAGCACATTTTGTATTTAGTACAATAGTTCATCATGTGTGGTTAACATATTGATAAACTACAAGCTTCTTCCTTAATTTACTCTCAACAAAATCCCCAAATGCATTAAACATTATGTCTCTATGTTCAGCAGAGCTGATCAATTATAATTTTAAAGATTCAATCTTAAATTAATTTGGATAGGTTGTATCTTAAACACACACGCACACACACACAAACACACACACACGCACACATACACACACACACACACACACACACACACAAACACACACACACACACAAACACACACACACACACACACACACAAACACACACACACACACACGCACACACATCAACTCTGGAATATTCTTTAATTACCCATATCCTCGATTATTTTTCCTTTCGTCCTGAACAAAGTCCTGCTGCAGTCCTGATGAGAGCGTCTCTCTGATGTGACGGTTCAGTAGACTTCTGCTTCGAGGTGGAGATGGCATCTTTTTAATCTCCTTTTCTCACGTCATGTTGATATTTCCCAAATAGTTTCAACTGGAACTTGAAACGTGCGGTCCTTTCACAGAGTTTTAAAAGAGTCACACATCCAACATATTGGATTTCCCAATGATATAATCATATTAACTGCAATTTGGATCTCCAATGGATTTCTAGGCCCCAAAAACGTATGTTTAGTCACCAAAATAAGATAAGAGATACTTTATTGATCCCGAATTGGGAAAGGTTTGCGTAGCAGCAGCATAAAAATACAATACAAATGAAAAGACTAGAAATAAACAAGAAAGTAGAAAATATACATGTTGACTACATGACTGAATATTGAGGCCTGATCTCCTTTTGCCTAATTTTCATAAAACATGTTACATCATCGTGAATAAGATGTTCCTCCTGACTTGATGTTTTCAAGAAAAAGACAAAAGCAATGTTTTTACACTTTCAAGTAATCTGGAGATTAATCAATCAATTTCTTATATTGAAAACATGCAAATAGCTTGAGTACAAACTGAATTTGAATGGTGCCTTTCTGTGGTGTTGCTTTCTAGAAACAAGCTCTTAAAAAAGTCAACCAAGATACCAGATTGGGGAGTGGAGAGAAACTCCCTCTGGGGTTTTAGCCTTTGCAATCTTTATTTATTTATTTATTTATATAGCACATTTAACACTTTGTAGACCATTTACATACACAAAAACCTATAGAACACTACAGGAAAGGGACAACCCCAAAACGCAGAAGAAGGCCCCTTTAAATAAATGTGTCTGTGTTTGTGATTGAGAGACAGACTGATTGCAGATGTGTTTGATGGGTTGAGTCTTATTTACGGCAGATAGAGGCAGGCTTCTTCTCACACATCCACTTGTGTTGTTCTTGACACCTGACCAGGGTCCAGGTCTTCAGAGACAACGTGTGATAGTCCACATATGCACAGGAAATGTTACTCCCAACATTCAGTGTAGGTTCCTTCCAGTTTCTATGAAACAATACAAAATACTGATTGGCGGATTTGGTTAGGGTGGAAAAGCAAGGCACTTCTGGATTGACTGTGTTAGTTTGACATACACATGTATGTCGTTGTAAGCCATGTAATAGACTGATGAGTTTTCAAGGTTGTACCCTTTCTTTAGCTTTACAGTATGCAATGAGCATTTGGTGATTTTTAAGGATAATGTTTGGATAAAACCTCGGGTGGATTTGGTTAATTTACTTTGAAGCTGCTAAGATTTACCAGTTGTTTCAATCAAAGTTAGTTGCTAAATATCAATGTGTAATAAAGTCCAAAATGTAATATGTCAATGTCAGATCTTCGCCTTAAATAAGGATCATCGTTCAAGTTTATAAAGATGTAAAAAGCCTTACGTATAACACCAGGGGCTTGAATCCACCGTTTTCAACTCCCATTTGTTCTTTTGCCTATTCAGGTTACCACTCAGGCCCATCCACAGTTTGGCATCACCTCCAAATCCACGGACAACTTTCTGTTCGGAAGGAAGGGAATTTAAAATACTTTATCAACTTTGGTTGGTGAGGCTAACCATAAATGAATTGGCTGCAGGATAATATCAGAATATCAGGATTTATATAAGAAATATAACAAATACCTCTTCTGCTTCATCATACAAAATCAACAAATGAGATCCTTTGTTCTCACAGTCTTCTTTTGCGTGCTGCCAGGTATTCTCCCTTGAGGAAAGCTGGTAACAGGTGGACTCGTGGCTCTGCCATCCACTGGGACAACATGGGATGTTCCGTTCTGCTCAGGACCAAACACAGGACAGGACACATCGGGACAAGATGTGACGGGGCGAGACAAGTCAGAGAAGGGCAAGATGGGGCAGAGAACAAAGCATAAGAAGACAACACAGGACAGAAGAAAAAGAAGGGCAGGGGAGGACAGAACCAGACAGAGGACAAATGTGATGATTGCAATAAAAGAAGTCAGAAAGTCTTGAAACATTTTCTAAACAGATTTACATGTTTAGATATTTCACAGGTTAAGAACATTTCAGCAAAAATATTACATTGTCTGACAAAATCTCATGGAACTTCACTCATTATATATATCAAGATATTTTAGCTTGGCCCAAAGTGGTGGACTGACAGAACGACTGAATGACATTGCCAACCATACATATATATATATATATATATATATATGTATATGTATATATACATATATATATATATATATGTATATGTATATATATATGTGTGTATATATATATATATAAATCAATACAGGTGTGTGGTGTTCATATTTTTGTTATTCAGCCAGTGTTCTTGGGTCTGGGGGACCCGCTGCCTTTTTGGGTTTCAATTCAACACAATCAAATTATTTTATGTTAAAATGCTCAACAGATGTTTACTTCATTCCAATTATAAGCAATATAAACAGCATATATGGTTAATATTTGCCCTTTTACATTTGTTAGATCACATTAATTAATTAAAGTGCTACTTGTTTTTTTGCCCGCTGACCGGCTGGTCCTGCGGCTCGTCTTTTCTTTGTAATAGCTGATGCTCAATCTCATCCTCTTTTTCAAAGTCACTGTCAGACTCAAGATTCTCAGAAATGTGATCCTCACATTCTGAAACCTCTTCCTCTTCCTCTACATCATCATCAAATGGTTCTCTCTCTTCCAAAATCATTTGCAAGGCCCTCTGAGCAGAGAATATTTTGGCCATCTTGATCAGCTGTGATAAGGACCCAAACTGAAGAAGCTTTATTTATTGTCTCGCCCCAAATTTGCAGCTGGGATAGAATGTGAACAAAACTAAGATTGGTTCCCGCAAGACATAATGCGGGAATGTGAGAGCAGACAGGTGTCGGTGCTTGCATTTGCCAACAATGTTGCAACCTGGTGCGGGAATGGCAGGGGCAGAAACACAAAAGTGTCACACACAAACACACACTAACACACTAACACACACACAGACACACACATATACCCAACAACGTCCAAAACACATCCTTAGAATGTTGCAGGCAAAACGTTCCACCTTTGTTAACATATCACAATAAAGGAACGTTTTATAAAAAAACTTTCTGTCATCTCAGGCCTCAATAACATCCTGAAAACATCCTCTGAATGTTGCAGTTCTTTGAACATCAGATGAAAACGTTTCTTTAAAACCTTATTAGAACCAATAGGTAACGTTAGCCAAAGTTGTGAGAATGTTCCCCGCATGTTATGCCTTGAGTTGCACACACACACACACACACACACACACACACACACACACACACAGAGAGAGCCCAGACAGGTGCACAGGACCTACAATGTCCCGAACATCCTGTATGTAATATAAATGTGTAGGGGGGGTGTACAGTGGGTGGTCATTGAAAATGTGTTCTGATATATGTTATTCACGGAATATAAGCCAAGGCCATTGAGTGTGAGTTTAAAAAAATGTTATCATATCATTTTTCTTTAGCTAAATAATGAAACCGGGTCCCACAGACCCGAACACCATACAATGGTTAAAAACAGACTCACCCGACTGAATTTGATTTTGTAGTTCGGTGACCATCTGTCCTAACCGTGTGTTGTCATTGACCAGGTTGGTGTTATTGGCCGTTTGCTCTTTGTTTTCCTTTACCAGTTGGTCTCTTTCTTGAACCAGTTGCGTTTTGTCTTGAACCAGTTGATCCTTCTCTTGAACCAGTTGCTTTTTGTCTTGAACCAGTTGATCCTTCTCTTGAACCAGTTGATCCTTCTCTTGAACCAGTTGTGTTTTGTCTTGAACCAGTTGATCCTTCTCTTGAACCAGTTGATCCTTCTCTTGAACCAGTTGCTTTGTGTCTTGAACCAATTGCTTCTTCTCTTGAACCAGTCGGTCTTTCTCTAAAATCAAGGCTTCGATGTTCGCGTTGTTGGACTGGGTAGAACATTCAGCTAGAAAGAGAAACATATAAGAAGTTTTGGTCCTCTGATGTTATCTCTATTGACTTGAAGTGGACACAAATGTTAAAGGTCCCCTATTATACTGTTTTTCATCAATATATTATAGATATATACAAAACATGTATCTGAAGTGTTTGTCTGAAACACCAAACAGATCATTGCAGCATCCCATAATCCCCTCTGTTTCAGCCCTGTTTCAAAAGTGCTGATTCTGTGTCTGTAGCTTTAAATGCTAATGAGCTGCTGCTGGCCACGCCCCTCTGAGACGTGATTGGTTAAAACAAATTGAATGGTGCTCTAGGAGGAGATTCAGGTGATAAGGTGGGGGGGGGGTTACCTTGGTTGGTGATTGGCTAATGGTTACTCAACCCAAAAAAACATTGTGACATCACAAAGTGACCAAAATCGGATCAGCTCATTTTCAGAAGTTTTTTATAAATGGATCAGGACAAAAAGAGAGGGAATCTTTTTTCCTGAAACGTTCAGAATCTCTTTACACAGAGGGGACACATGTTTATTTATAAAATACATGAAAAAGTGGATTTTGCATAATCGGGGACCTTTAATGCGGTGGGATGTACCCAATTGTTAATTTTTTTAACTGTGTGCTGAAGGAAAGTGCTAAAACTCACCTGCTTGTACGATGAACAGCAGGCCGAAGCTGACTGCCACCAAAAATGTAGGTTTTTGACCCTCCTACAAACAGGCAAAAACACACAAACACCAAAATAATAACATTAACATGAAGATAATTATAAGTTACACGCACTGCATTTATCTGTCATTTGTATTGGGTTCATGTCTTTTTTAAACTCTAGCTTTATTAAGGCGAGACACGGCAGGCAAAAACATCGTTTTTCCTGCACTGGTCAATTTTGAGATTTTGTGCTATTTTGATTCCATAACATGTTTTCTTTCAGGCTTTTGGAAGGAAAACGTACAAAATACACATTTAAGTGTTTATTTTACTATAGTTTGTCTATTTGCGTCTGTAGATTTCTCCTAAATTCACCAAAAGTTAGCATTCTAACGTAACATAAAGTACCGCGACCGCTGTTTGCACCATGTCATCAGAGGTATCGTTGGAAAGCTCCGTCTCTCCTGCACAATCTCATCGGATCCAAATATGGTCATTTCCTTTGTATCAGCAACCAATCGTGAAAGTGCAAAGGGGTCTTAAACCAAGAAACGATTGGCTGGTGTCAATTTCTGACAACGTGATTCGTTCAGATGCGTCACGTGGTGTGCTAAAGCACTTCCTGGTTAGCTTTCCGCTAGAAATTTAAATCTGAAAATGGCAAAATAACGGCGAAAAAAACGTTCACAGAGAAGACGACAACAATTGCCACTTGCACAAAGCAAGGTTATACAAAAAACAAATGACCCCGAACATGAAATATCTTCACGGAGTGCGTCGATGCGCAAGCTATCATCCAGATAACAGGAGGGTTTAGCTAGCGTCACACTGCAATCTTTAAAGGTCGTTTTCTCAAAATGAGTTCTATTTCGTCCCTACTGACCGCCAGAGGCGGTGCTTTTAGCACTGGATATGTCCATCGTGCGCATGCGCAGTACGAGTACCAATATCAACAAAGTCACCTGTGACCCACGTCACACCGGCTATATCAGCCAGTGTCATCAGAGGATCTGTTCCTTTCATCTTCTCGCTGCGCGAGAGTACCGTGGCTGCATTCTTGCAGCCTACAGCGTTCAGGTTTGAACGTTTGAACGTTTGATCTGAGGGATTTCTCTGCATACAGCTGGCCGCGGGGAGCTTCGCGACTGATAGTCGGAGCTAAGGGTTGTTAACGCGTCCTCCAGGAGCTGTGGCCGGCGGTGCGCCGTGCAGAGCCTCGACGGACAGGTTCGTGTCAACTTGTGGTGATGGCTGTGTTCCCGCACCCTCTCCCAGCTAAGTTGTCCTGATTGCTGTCTTGTTATTGTCGGGCTACTTTCTGGTGACGACAGTGTTCTCGCCTCCTCTCCCATAAAGTTGCCCTTATGATGCTCTTTTGAAAGTTCTGCTTGTGGCGTTGTGCCCGAGCTATCTTTAGCATTTGAGTTCCCAGCTTTCGCTGCGTCTCTTTTAATAGTATGGAAAGCCCACAGTGCCATAATTTGCCTGTTTTTTGTTAGTTGCAGAGAGTAAGGTAAGTTCTGGCCAGAGTTACTACTGTAACTACGGTCCTAGGCCATGCAACTACGGCATGGTTACTGCTGTAACCATGGCCTATGGTTCTTGCGGGCTGTTCTATTCCTTAGAAGCTAATTAGCTTCATTCTCAGCGACTGCAGTAGCGCTATATTGTTGTATTTACCACTCCTAGTGCTAGTCTCCTAGCACTAGGATGGGTAGATGCGGAGAACAATCTTCACTGTGTGTGCTGTGTGCTCCGCATGTGTGGCCATTCACCGGCCACGGTTACTTTTGCCATAGTTACTACTGTAGCTACGGTTCTAAGCCGTTTAAGTATTGGCCATAGTTACTACTGTAACTACGGGTCTACGCCTTGTAAATACTGGCCATAGTTACTACTGTAACTACGGTTCTAAGCCGCGTAAGTACTGGCCATAGTTACTACTGTAACTACGGGTCTACGCCGTGTAAATACTGGCCATAGTTACTACTGTAACTACAGTTCTAAGCCGCGTAAGTACTGGCCATAGTTACTACTGTAACTACGGTTCTAAGCCGCGTAAGTACTGGCCATGGTTACTACTGTAACTACGGTTCTAAGCCGCGTAGGTACTGGCCATGGTTACTACTGTAACTACGGTTCTACGCCGCGTAAATACTGGCCATAGTTACTACTGTAACTACGGGTCTAAGCCGTGTAAGTACTGTCCATAGTTACTACTGTAACTACGGTTCTAGGCCGTGTAGGCACTGGCCATGGTTACTACTGTAACTACAGCTCTGTGCTGTTCTCTTCTTTGGAAGCTGGTTATCTGGTCTTAAACATTGTGTTTTTTTACTTGATTTCGCTTGATTGTTAGCAGCAGCCGCTTGACTAACACCTTGCATGGACCGTTTAGCTTCATTATTTAACTCAGCTGGTGAAGGCAGTGCTCTCGCTCCCGCTCCCGGTAATGTTGCCCTGTAACGTATCACTGGCTATTAGCAGCGGCCACTTGGCTAACATATGGCGTGTTGGGTGTAGGTCATTCACATCCCCCTCTGTGTTCGGCGAGTAGGAGCAGTGCTCTACTCTTTCCGTTCAGCATTTAGCCGGTGAAGGCTGTGTTACCGCACCCGCTCCCGGTTACGCTGCATCTGGCATTTGTCTCTGACTCAACCAGTGAAGGCAGTGTTCTCGCCCCTGCTCCTGGTAGACGTGTACTTGATTCTAGCAGCAGCCGCCCGGCTAAGCTGTCCTGTTGAACTTCTTTATTTAATCCAGCTAGGTGAAGGCAGTGCTCTCGCTCCCGCTCCCTCTGCTGGTAGCTCCGTGCTTCGTTTACTCGGCTAGGTGAAGGCAGTGCTCTCGCTCCCCGCTCCCTCTGCTAGTAGCCTTGCACTTTCATTTACTCAGCTAGGTGAAGGCAGTGCTCTCGCTCCCCGCTCCCTCTGCTAGTAACGTGGGTGTAGGACATTACACCCCTCTCGTGTTCGGCGAGTAGGAGCATTGCTCTACTCTTTCCGTTCAGCAGGTAACTGGTGAAGGCTGTGTTCTCGCACCCCGCTCCCGGTTACGCTGCATCTGGCATTCGTCTCAAACTTAACCAGTGAAGGCAGTGCTCTCGCCCCCGCTCCTGGTAGACGCTAGACTGCCTTGTTTATTAAGCCAGCTAGGCGAAGGCAGCGCTCTCGCCCTCTGCCGGTAACGTGGGTGTAATTACATCCCTCTTTCTGTTCGGCAAGTAGCAGCACCGCTCTACTCTTTCCGTTAAACAGGTAGCTGGTGCAGGCTGTGTTCCCGCACCCGCTCCCGGCTACGCTGCATCTGGCTACCCACAGAATGGCTCATTCATGTGGGCTGTCCCCTAAGGTGGATCGGTTAGCTGCCATCATGGAGCAGACAAAGCCGCTCCTGTTGGCCCTTCAGCCAGGGGCCGGTGTGGGGGCTACTAGCTTGCCGCCTGGCCCGCCTTCGGTTGCCACACCTCTGCTTGAGGATGCCATGTCGCTAGCGGCTCCGGCTGAACCGCTTCTTGAAAAGGGGGGGGCGGGGCCCCGCTCACCCCCGAAGAGGCTCCCCACTCCTCTGCTCAGAGCTCTTTGCAGGGCACGGAGGACGGCTCCATGGCGGCCATTATTCGTGCGGCCCTGGTACGCTTGCAGCTTCAGGTTCCGCAGGCCGACCCAGGCTAGCGCCTTCTTCAGGCATAACCCTGCCCCTTTCATTCCCACTGTTCCTCCTTTAGAGGAGTACCTGAGGGAGCTCCATGCATGCTAGAGACACACCAGGGCCCTCTCCCACTCTGCTGCCATGCAGGATCCGGCGAGGGTGGGGCTGGGTCGCTTGCCATCCATTGAGCCTGCCATCGCCTCCCCGATTCTGGCCCCGGATGCCAGGCGCCCTCGGCCTCAGTGCAGGGTCACAAACGAGCTGCTCTGTAAGGCCTACGACACAGCGGCACGGGAACTCCCTCTCCCATCTGATACTGGCTGTCTCTACCTCTCTGCAGCAGGCTCCGGCTGAGCCTTCTTTGCTGGGCCTCAGTGATGCATCACTGCAAGCCTTTGCCCTAATGCTAGGGAATTGGGACGAGTCATGTCCTTTTGGTGCAGACTCGTCGCCAGGTTTGGCCTGCTTAGTCACCACTGTCGGAGACATGTCCTCCGTAGTGTGCCAGTCGAGTCAGGGGAGCTGTTTGGGGCAGCTGCCCTGTAGGCATTGGAGCGTGCTGCCCAAGCTAGGCAGACCAGGCAGCAGCTCTCGGGTCTTTATAGGCCTGTGCCCACTCCCAGCAGGCCCAGGGGCCCCTCTAGCAGCCGCACTCAGCCACCAGCTTACAGTGGTGGTCTGCACAGGTCCCAGCGGCCCACTCATCCGTTGTGCCCCCGGCTGCCGGCCTTCTAGGCGGCCTCGTGCCTCAGAGCCTTACTGGCCTCCCCCCAGCAGCAGCTCAGCTACTGGGCTGTCTGTACTTCCGGCCCTTGGGTGGTTTTCACCTTAACCCAGGGGTGCAAACCGCAGTTCCGGCCCCTAGCCTTCGGCCGGGCCAAAATGACAGTCGTCAGCGATCCGGCAGATGCCCTAGCTCTAGCCCAAGAGTTGTCCGTCCTTCTGCCCAAGGAGGCAATCGAGCCAGTAGACCCTCTGCTTAGCCCAGGGGGTTCTACTCTGCGTACTTTCTCGTGGCCAAGAAAGTCGGCGGATTTCACCTGCTCTTGGACCTCAGAGGAATCGACAGATTCCTGGAGGTGCTGCCATTCCATATGCTGACCGCAGCACATGCACAGGGGGAGTGGTTCGCAACCGTGGACTTTAGGGATGCCTACTTCCTCGCGGGCCGGGCAAGAGGGTGCCTGATATTCAGTTCCTCCGGCCCTTGGGCAGACTGACGGCTGCCTCAGCCGTTGGGCCCTTAGGCCCGCTGTCGTTGTGCCCCATGCAGATGTGGCTGATCAGCCTTCTCTTGGATGCCAAGTGGCACAGGCACAGGAAAGTCAGAGCGTTGCAGCGTTGTCTCCACTCTCTGTCACGCTGGAGGGGCAGGGTCTATCTCCTGATGGGCGTGCCCATGGGCGCC